TCTTCCTCTTGCCTGTCCCCTCTGCCAACCTCCCAAAGGCGTTCCCAGGCATTCCAAAGGCCAGGAATCTGTCTCCCTAAACATGACAGTCAGAGCATGCCCGTGCATCAGACATGTCTGTGAAACTCAGCAAAATTCCTGCTAGGAGCAGCCAACTTTTGGAATCTTCTTAATAAATTTTATTGTTCCTCTGGCACGTGCCCTTTTGGTAGGAAGGGCATCCAGGGAAGGGGCAGCAAAGAGGGCAGGGGTGTCTGTGAGCTTCCAGAAGGTGTGTGTGCTCTGGGAGACATGGGAGAATTGGGGTGGCAGAGAGCAGGCACCTCACATTCCAGGAGGAGGCCATCGCTCCTGGGGCACAAAAACCCCCACCCCTTGTCCTTGCCCAGGTGGACATGTCCTGGCTGCTCTGCAGGGCCTGAAGAACACTGGGCATGGCTCATATTGCCCCCAGCATCTGGAGAAATGTGCAGAAAAACCAGAGATGGACAAGCAATCTAAACCAGTTGCACAGGAAGGGATGGGTTTGTGGAGTGCAGGTAAGGCCTGGCCCTGTCATTTCCAGGGATGGGGACAGCCACCTTCACATCCCATGAGGACAGACTGCCAGGCAAAGTGCACCTTCCCCTGTTCCCAACTGCACAAGATGAGGGCCAAAGCCATGGTGGTGCTCAGGACCAAAACCATGATGCTGATGCTTGGGGCCACCAGGCTTTTGTATCACCTTTACCTGCAGGAGCTCCAGCACCAGCACTAGCAGAGGAAAAGGGCAGGAGGAGTTTGGAAATCCCCTTGAAGAGGGACACAGCTTAGAGCCAAACTTAGGAGAAAGGATAAAGCTCCTCTCCCATCTGAGAAATATTTCAAATTCACAGACTGGATGAGGTCAGAAGGCCCCTGGCAGCTCAGTTTGTCCAAGCCCATGCTCAGCTGGGGTTGTCTCAAAGCAGCTGCCCATAAACTTCGGCAGTTTTGATATCTCCAAGAAAGAAACTCCACAACCCCTCTGGACAAGCTGTGTCAGTGCTCCATTACTCTCCCAGCAGATGTTTCCTGATGTTCAGAGGGAACCCCTTCTTTTTCAGGTTGTGTCCATGTCCATCCACTGGCTCTGTCTTTTCACCCTCCTTTCTGCTATTTTTATACATTAATAGGATTCCCCCTCAGCCTCCTCCATTCTGAACAACCCCACATGTCCTAATCTTTCCCCACAGGAGAGATCTTGCAATCCCTTCATCATCAATGGACTCTCACCAGTAGCTTCTGTACTGGAGAGCCCAGAACTGGACACAGCCAGCACACAGGTGTGGCTTCATCTGAGAAGAGGGGAAGGATCACCCTAACCCAAAACTTCTCCTAAAGCAGCCCAGGATGCCATTAACCCTCTGCTAATGGAGAACCAGGACCCTCACAGCCTTCCCTGTGCATTCCAGGTGTCCCAGCAGGTACTGGCATGTGGGATCATTCTTCCCCAAGTGCAGGACTTTGCAATTCCCTTTGCTGAACATCAAAACGTTTCTGTCAGCCCATTTCTCCATCATGCAGGTCTTCAGTGAAGGTGTCAGATGGGCTGGACCTAGTGACATGAGTTATTGGTGTTCCACCAGACTCACAGCACTGATCACCAGAGACTGGCACCAGTCTTTCAGCCAGTTTTCCATCTACCTCTGGGTCTATCCAGCCTGTACATCACCACTATGAGGAGGTTACAGGACATCCTATCAAATGCCTGACTGAAGCCAAGGCAGACAACATGCCCTGCTCTTCCCTCACCCCCCAGGCAGTCATTCCTTCAGAGGGTTATCAGGTCCTTTAAGCCTGACTTCCCCTTTTTGCATCCATGCTGACATCAAGTGTTTGGCCACAAAAAGATTTATCCCTTTGCCAAAAGTGTCCCCTTGCCTGACTCCCCCTGGTGCTAATGCCACCCTGCCTGTGAGGGCTTTTGATGACTGTCACTTATTCAAGATACTGGGAAGGCTGGACTTGCCCAGCTCTGCTGTTCTGAGCAGAGGGGTTTCACAACAGCACCCCAAGCCACAAGTGTACCAGGATTTGCTGAGTGTGTGACAGATTGTTGTCCTGAGGCATTTTGGAGTGCATGTGTGTGTGTGAAGGGGCAGGTCAGGCCTTGCCCTGGTGAGGCAATGCCCTGCTCTGCACATCCTCCATCCCCAGAGTCTGCACCCCAGCCCTGCAGGGGCTGCCAATCCCTGGCACAGCAGAGCCAATGCTCCACACCTGCCCCTGCAGCTCCAACCAAGCTCCCCAGGGGCCAAATGACTGGAAAACCCACCTGGGGAAAGGGCTCAGGATGGCTAAGGAGTAGATAAAGCTGAACTTGAGGTGAGCACAGGTCTTGACCCTCTCTCCTCTTGGAGTTTTCATCAGATTAAACACCTCTGGAACCCAGGAGGGGGTAGCTATATGTGTTCTTTTCTCTATCTTCTATTGCTTTCTTTAATTTCCTCATCTTGGAAGTCGTGAACAATTTAAAATGGAATGGGCTTAAAGTTTGCAAAGTTGAATGGGCCAATTTAATGCTCTGTGTTTATGTTGAGTGTGTGCTACTCTAAATCTTTAGTCAAAGGTTCTTTGATTTTTTAAATTTGCTAGCAAGGTCTTTTTGGTTGTTTTGGCCTCTCGAGAGTACCTTGTCAGTCTTTCTTCTGTGCATCTAAAGCACAGCACATCAACAACCACCAGCCCTTTTAAAGCCTTGTCAGGTGAGTTTTTTGGGGCCTTACAGTGGGGGAAACCAGCCAAAAGCCAGAGCTGCTGCCTCCTTCTTCACCAAGGGACTGATCTGTGCCAGCAGTTTTGCTCCAGGTCTGGCTTAGACTTGCAGGACTAAGACAAGGTTGGCCAAGCCTGCTTCTATCCTGGGACTGCAATCAGCACCAAACAGGAGACAACACCAGCATCCATTTATTCTGTCTTTATTCACTGGGGAGAGGAGGCCAGTATTTTACCTTGTCTTCTGCATGAGCCCTGAGAAGCCTCACCAGTTTGGTCCCTCTTACCTAGACAGAATCAGCCCTTGGTCATGGCAAAGCTGATGTGCCTGGAGGAGTGCTGGCACACAGGGAGAGGGATACAAGGCTGCCTCATCACAGAGCAAGAAGGATGAGTGTGCCCCAGCAGCAGTCACTGGGGGAAGGTGTTTCCTTTCTTGTTCTCTCCAGGATCAAAGCTTGTCCCAGCTCACATCAGGCTGGAGAGCAATGGAGCATGGTCCATTAAACTGCTAACCACAGAGCAAAGCCAATGCTCTGGAAAGACTCAAAGAACCATGAGGGAGCAAGGCTAAGGCTCTCTGCTCCAAGCTTTGTGGGATGCCTGTGAAATTTTGGGTTTGGCAGAGCAAGTCAGTCTTAGCAGCACTGGCAGAAGGATCTTGCTGGCTACCACCCCACCAAACCCCCTCCACTGGCTCCCACCAAGCCCCTGCCCCAGCCACACTGCCCCATCTTGCAGGGGGATTCTCCAGGCATCCCTAAATCTGCAGTACAACCCCACCAGGCCCCTCTGGACATGGCTGTTGTACCACCACCAGGTTGTACCTAACTCTCACCCTGGCCAAGGGAGGGCACTGCCTGGGCAGCCCTTGGGACAACAGACTGCAGGGACAGTGTCCTCCCCCAGGACAGTGAAAGGGACACAGGCAGGCTCTGCAAACAGGGAGCAGAGGACTGCTGGGCACCCCGTTTCACACTGCCCAGGTGGGACCTGTGGATGTCCCACACGAGGATGGCAAAGCAGCCCAGAGACCACTACACACTGCTGAGCCCTTCTGAAAAGCAGCTCAGCAGCTGCCTTTGATCAGCCATTGCCCCTTTCTTTCAGAAGGGGTTGGTTGTCCCTTAACCACACCTCATAAACCCCAGAATCCCCCACACAAGAGCAAAACCCATGCAAGAGAGGAATGGGACACACCTCAGACCTGCAAGCCAACCTCCAGGCAGGTCAGCCCAGGGTCAACTAACAGTGCCACCAAGCTCCAGAGGGGCTGAAGATATATCCACACAAGCCAGGCACTGAGACTGCTAAAAAGGCTGTGTTTATATGGCCACATACCCAGCAGGTCCTCACTGGAGGGTGTGGCAGCAGCCCCACACCTGTGGTGGGAAGGGGTGTCAGGCACAGAATGGGAATGCTGTTGAAAGGCTGAGACTTGGAGCTGCAGAGACAGTGGGAGATCATTCCCCATCATTCTCCCAGCTGCCAGAAGCACTGTGCAGCACCTGCCAGCCACGACCAGGCTGCTTGGACTTGAACAGCAATGGTAGGAGAAGACAAACCCAAGCCAGGTGTAACACTCAGGCCACACTCTGTTGAAAGGCTGAGACTTGGAGCTGCAGAGAGACAGAGGGAGATCATAACCCATCATTCTCCCTGAAGCACTGTGCAGCACCTGCCAGCCACGACCAGGCTGCTTGGACTTGAACAGCAATGGTAGGAGAAGACAAACCCAAGCCAGGTGTAACACTCAGGCCACACTCTGTTGAAAGGCTGAGACTTGGAGCTGCAGAGAGACAGAGGGAGATCATAACCCATCATTCTCCCTGAAGCACTGTGCAGCACCTGCCAGCCACGACCAGGCTGCTTGGACTTGAACAGCAATGGTAGGAGAAGACAAACCCAAGCCAGGTGTAACACTCAGGCCACACTCTGTTGAAAGGCTGAGACTTGGAGCTGCAGAGAGACAGAGGGCGATCATTCCCCATCATTCTCCCAGCTGCCAGAAGCACTGTGCAGCACCTGCCAGCTAGAACCAGGCTGCTTGGACTTGAACAGCAACGGTAGGAAGAGACAGACCCAAGCCAGGTGTAACACTCAAGCTGCCCAGGATGGACACCACCACGGTTCTTCCTTCCTTACCGAGTTTGAGGTGAAGTTCCTGACACCAACACCTCCTAGGATCCCCTTTTCCCCAGTCCCTCCCAGCAACACTGAGCCTGGCAAATACCTTACAGCAATTAATTTTACGTTATTCTGCATTTACGCAAAAATAGAGCAATTCTATATTTATAGAGGTTTATAGCCGGATCCGTGCTGGAGGAGTTATCAAGCAAGGCCGGGAGCTGAGGGTGGTCCGGGCTCCCGAGCAACCGGCTGCTTCTCGTTGGGCAACTCCAACATACAAAATGAAAGGCATTCGTCTCCGTCTGGTTTCTTAAATAGATAAGGGGGAACGAGTGGACAGTATGTACAGAGGGGCCGTGCTGGCCTCGGCTCTGCCCGCGTCAGTGGGGCCGGCTGCTGGACTCTGAGGGCTGCCGCTGGCGCGGGGGAGTGTAGCCATTCAGGTACCCGTTGCTCTGGCGTTTGCTGAGTCCTCCGTTAAGAATGTCCTGGATGTGCTGCACTATCAGGTTTATGGCCACTGCGAGCAAAAGGGGGAGACAGGGCGTTAGGATGGATGCAAAAATCAGAGCCAGGGTAGGGTTGTGACCCTGCTGTCCCTCCCCACTGCTGTCCCCTCCTATTTCCCCCCAGGACTGAGCCCTCTGCCCCTCAAGCCAGGATAGTCAGGGTGATTCCAGCTAGGATGCCCAGGCTGCTCCCAGCCAGCATGGTCAGGCTGAATCCAGTCAGAGCACTCAGGCTGAATCCAGCCAGGGTGGTGAGGCTGATCCCAGCCAGGACCATCAGGCTGATCCCAGCCAGGACCATCAGGCTGACCTCAGCCAGAACACTCTGACTGATTCCAGCCAGAACAGTCAGGCTGACCCCATCCAAGACACTCAGGATGACCCCAGCCAGGACACTCAGGCTGACCCCAGCCAGGACACCCAGGCTGAATCCAGCCAGGACACTGAGGCTAACCCCAGCCAGGATGCCCAGGATGATTCCAGCCAGGATGGTCAGGCTGACCTCAGCCAGGACACTCCAGCTGACCCCAGCCAGAACAGTCAGGCTGACCCCAACCTGGCTGACCCAGCTGCACATTGCCTTTTGTGTGGGATGAACAAAGAGTTGGCCTGGAGGCATTAAGAGGAACACAAACTCCCAATCAATAATGCTCCAAGTAGGAGCAAAGGGAACAGGCTCATCTTGGCACACCTGTGGTAGCAGCACTCTCTTGGCACTGCTGCTCTCAGGCAGTGGCCTGAGTCCTCTCTGGGGCAGCTCCAACCTAACTCTACTGCAACAGCAACAGCCCAAGTCTGGCTACCAGGGCAGAGCAGCAAGGCCTGGGTGCTTACCTTCATTATCTGCTCCTCTGGGAATGATCACATCAGCATATTTCTTGGTCTGGGAGGAGAGAGAGCACTTTGTTACAGGGAAAAAGTGGCGAGACAGCGGGCTGGGGCATTGTCCCTGCTCCCTGGGGCAGCTCCTTGCCCTCCCCAGACCCTCTGGGAGGGATGTCATTGCTGAGAATACATTTTGGATGCTCTTATTTGTGTTCTGCTCTGCGTTTCAAGGGCCATGCTTTGTGCCCTGACTCCATTTTCATGAGCTCATACAGAAGCCAGTAAGAAGCACCCTGAACAAAACCTGCAATTATTAAGAAGCCTCATAATCACAGGACTCCAGCAGCTGATGCTCTTGGGAACATCCTTCTCTCTGAATCCACCCCAGACTTGCTCCAAGAGCACGAGCTGGCATGCCTGGGCAGATCTGCCTGGGAAGGGGGGAGAATTCTCTACCACACCACTTGCAAAGGTGTGATTCAGGACCCCAGTCCTGACCTAGATTCCCCTGCAGGTGCCAGTCTCAGTCTCCTCCCCGTTTGTGGCAGTTTTACAGCTGACAGCCAAGCCCCACCAAGCCAGCTGGGGCGATGGGTGTCACCTGACACCTCCAAGTGCTTCCAGACATATCAAAACCCACCAGGATATGCTGGACCATTTCAGTACTGGACCACTTGGCTCAGAGCTGCTTTAGGAGTCAAATAACAGCAGCAGTGGGTGCTCAGCCAACACCAGGTTGGAAGTGGGAGCAGACCATTGCAAAGCTGTGGGTAGAAACAAGGCAGCTCTGTGCCCTCCTTGTTTCACACTTCATTCTCCTACAGACTCTTCATCAGAAAAGCCTGATGCAGCATCTGCTGCTCTGAAAAACTGTGGATTTAGAAGAGGAGCCTTGCAAGCTGGACCTGCCTCTCAGGAAAAGCCTTTTTGAGCTTTGGAATTGGTCCCCAGAGCCACAGCTGAGTGAAACTGAAAAAAGGGAGCTGTGCAACAGCCAGGGAAAGATCTTGCAGCACAGAATCAGTCCTTCTTAAGGTAAGGGGCAGAGCTAACCAGACAGACATAGGGATGCTCCTAAGGTGGGAGGCACAGTTTAATTCCTGCCTGTGGTGCTGGTCAGCAGTTCCCAGGTTTCAGGACTCTGCTAGCTCACTTCCTCCAGAATAATAAAAAAAAATCCTCATATAAAAATAAAAAATTCCTCATATACCACATCTGCTTGAAAAGCCTTGAGAGGCAAGGCACTGGCTGCTCTCCATGAGAGCCAGGAAAGGTGTACAATGGCTGATGCTGCAAACATGCTATTTCCATGCAAGTCTGCAGGGCTGCAGTAAATTCCCCCATGCAGTCCCTGTCTGCCAGGCAGCCTTGCCTCTGTTATCAGCTCCCAAAGAAGCTTCCTTTCTCCAGGCAGGCCTTGTCCCCCTGGCCACTCAGCAGCCAGGAAATGCAACCTGCAAGGCCACATCCCACTGCACAGACAGAAGGAAGAAGCTGCCCTGCTCTCCCAAGCACGAAGCCAGCAGCACTGCAGGGTGAAAAGGGCAGGCAGCACAGCCCAAAAGAGGAGGCAGACACAGCAAACGCTGCCTGGGGGCAGAGACCTCCCATTCCCCAGCTAAATACAGCCAAGGATCCTCCCTGGTAGGCTGAGCTGCCCAGAGGTTTGTGAGCCTTTGCCCAGGGAGGGATTCCTCTGGCCATGCTGCCTTCCCAAAGGGAAGGGTGATCTCACCAGGAAGGCAGTGGCTGTATAAACAGACCCCATCACAGCCTGCCCTGGCAGAGCCTGCAGAGAGGGAGGAAGGCACAGGGGGCAGATCTGAGCGCTGGGCAGGCACCAAGTGCTCCTGTTCCAGCACCCTCATGGGTGCAGTCCCCTGACTCACCGGCAGGCAGAACTCCTCGAAGGCAGGCTTGACAAAGGTGATGTACTGAGACAGGATCTGCTCCAGGTCCCTGCCTCGCTCACTGATGTCTCGGAGCACTGAGGGGAAGGTGGAAGGCACAGTCAGGAGCTGAGGCACAACTCTCTCCATCCCCTTTTCCCTACAGTAAGTACAGCCTTTGGCCTTTGGATATTTTGCCTGAGATCTCTGTTCCTGGAAGCTGCTGTCCATGTGTCTGAGCACATCCCAGCCCAGCTCCATGCTTTTAACCTGCTTCCAAGTTTTCCTGGGAGCCAAGGGCTGGCTGACCTGGCCAAGGGCTTTTCTTGGCCCCCTTCTCAGCTCAGCATGCACATTCCAGCTGTAACCATGCCAGCCCAGTCCTGAGTGTTCCCAGCCTCAGACTCTGCCTCCCTCCTGTCACTCTGTCCTGCCTGACTGGGCATTCTCTGCCACTCCAGTGCAGAGGTGCCCAAAAAGTAGAAAATCAGTGGGGTTCAGCCACACACACGCATTAAAGCAGTTTAATTCCAATCTTCAGAGGTGGGGAGAGTAAAGCTCATCCACCTGCACAGCTCTGCCAGGCTCCTTGTGCTGTCCCCAGCTGGCAGGAGAACCAGAGGTGAGGGGCTCAGCTCAGGAGGAAGCCCAAAGGCAGGAGAGCAGACTGGCCTGCTGCTTGTTCTGCCACTCAGGCCTTCCACCCTGTCTGCATGAGCTGTTTGGGCCAGTGCCATCCCCAGTCTGACGCCACTTCAGTGTGGACAAGTGGCCCAGTTCAGCAGGAATTCAACCCTCAGGGAAGAGCCAAAGCAGCCCTGTGGCTGAGCAGACAGCTCTTGGCTGTCCCCAGGGGGCTGCTGGCTTTTCCCCAGCATGTGAGTGCCTGGCACTGGCTTTGGAATGAGCCTTCCCTCGTGTCCCAGGCAGAGCCAAGGCACAGCACTGCCCTGCCAGCCTGCCTGACCTGCTGGGCAGCCACTGCCTGTGTGCTCTCAGGGCCAGGACACTGCTGCTCTGGCACTGCCCCCATGGCTCTGTTTGCCCTTGGCCAGCAGCTTCACAGTGTGGCCTTTCACAGCCCTGCAGGGGGAAGTGATGGGGGAAAAGGCTGGCAGCAGGATGGGTGCCAGCTCCCTGCCTGCTCCAGGAACCAGCAGCAGCTTCTTCAGAGAGCAGGAGCGAGCCCCAGCTTGAAGAACACTGGAAAAAGAGGCAGGGAAAATATAACACTCTTGTTTCCCAGCTCCCACACCTTATTTGCTGGGGTGCAGGAGGCCTGTGAGCTGGGCAGGGGCTGGTCCTGACAGGGCAAAGCTCTCCTGCCTCTTCCCAGGGCAGGGTAATCACCCCACACACAAACACAGGTCAAACACTTGCTGCTGGTACCTGGCCCCAAAGCAGCAGGTCCTGGGTAAAACCACACACCCTGTCCTGAGGGATTGCTGGCAGGGCAGGCAAATATCCCAAGGACAGACTGGCACCTCTCTGAAGCCAGCAGGTCCAAACTCCAACTGGATCCAAAACATGTATGTGACACTGGACCTGGTTTCTTTTTTAGGGAAACTGGCCAAGGACAGGGCAGAGAGGGAGCTCAGCCAGAATGAGGTCCCTGAGCCCCATGGATCCCTGTCTGAGGCACCTGGCAGAGCTTGCCCCTTGCACTCTGCTAGCAGAACCTCTGGGTACAGGTGCTGAGATGGGCACAGTGTGAGCTGCACACACTGAGACCCAGCACTACTGATTAACTGAGCTGCCAGCTGCACTTCCAGCAACCTCACCTCCTGCTGCTGCCCAGCTGAAAACCCAACTGCTGCAACCCTTTAGGGCTTCTGGGACAGAAAGATGACTCAGGGCCACATCACAACACAAGATCCCAACTTTGGCAATGAGTTGCCTCCAGCTACGTTCCAGGGACATGATTATACCTTTGGCACCTCTCACACAGGCTCTCCTTTCCCAGAAATGACAGGCAGACATGCAGTAAACAGATTTGATGCTGCAGTGGTCCTACCAACTGCTGATGGCAGGGAAATGGCCAGATTCCTAGCAGGAGAACAATGAGCTGCAGTAACTAGGAGACAGCAGCACCTCCATCAGCAAAGCTGCCCTTTTGCAAGTGGTTGATGGTGGGTGGGAGAAGCACAAGGCTCACAAGAGCAGTGTGAGCACAGCAGTGACCCCATAACTCCACACCACCTTCTCCTGTCCTGAATGACCACTAGGACAGATGGAGCCCAAAGTCAGGAGCTAAATTAACTCAGTGGACACTCAGATCTGTTACAGGGGTGTTCCATAAAACAGGGGATTGATATTTGTGTGAAACACCAAAGGTGGGGAATGAGAGTGGACTGGAGGCTGTGGGACCTGAGCCTGATTTAAGTGGTTTGGAGTAAGGGCTGGAGAATGTGCTGGTTTTGGTGGGGACAGAGTTAAATTTCTTCACAGTGGCTGGTGTGGGGCTGTGTTTTGGATTTGTGCTGAAAACAGCGCAGATAACACAGGGATGTTTTTGTTATTGCTGAGCACTGCTCACACAGATCCAAGGCCTTTGCTGCTTCTCACCCCACCCCAGCAGTGGGGGAGGGGACACAGCTGGGACAGCTGACCCTGACTGACCCAAAGCATGTCCCACATGATGATGGAAAGCTGGGGGAAGGAGGAGGAAGGTGAGAGGAGACATTCAAAGTGATGGCATTTGTCTTCCCACATACCCATCACACCCCATGGTGCCCTGCTTTCCTGGGGATGGCTGAACACCTGCCTGCCCACGGGAAGTGGTGACAAATTCCTCCTTTTGCTTGCCTTGTGGCTTCTGCTTTACTTCATAAACTGTCTTTGTCTCAGCCCACCAGTTTTCTCACTCTTACCCTTCTGATCCTCTCCCACCAGGGGAGGTTGAGCAGGAGCTGTGTGGGGCTGGGCTGCTGGCTGGGGTCACTGTCACCACCACAGTGTCCTACCTTGTGGCTGGGTGTGGCCCTGAGCTCCTGCACAGCATTTTAAGGGATCAGGGCTCACCTTTTGGGACCCTGCATATCTGTGACCTGCTAATACATCTCCCTGCAACTGACTGTGCTGTCACCTCCCTGGGTGAGTCATGCAAGAACAGTGGGCAGGGTCAAGAGGGATTGGTAAAAAGGAGATGTTCATCAGTGCTGATGACATCCCAGCAGCTGAGGAGGCTCTGCATGTGTCTGACAGCAGGAGGGCAGGCAAGACCAGCTCCACTGCAGAGTGGAACATGCACACACAGTCCCAGGCTGACGCACTGAGACACGCTGCCCTCATCACAGCGCAGAGTTCTGGCAGGGACTGCTCCTCTTCAGTCATCTTCTGCATCCCCAGGCACCCTGTGGAGCCTGTCAGAGCCAGCCAGGGGTAGCAATAGCTCAGACAGAAGTGAATTCTGCCCCAAGAGTCCCCAAACGGTTTTTTAGTCACATGGGAGGTGCTGCATCAGTGACCCCACCCCTCAAAGCTGCTTAGAAACAAAGAATATCTCAAGTCATGCAGGCCCTGCAGTGTGGGTGTCCCTCCACACATCAGCTGGCACCCCACAGCCAAGCCAGCAGGACTTGGGAGTCCTGGAGAGGGGCACTTTGGTTTCTAGGGCTCTTTGCCCCCAAAGCCAGGTGCCACACAGAGGCTCCACACTGGGTTGCACAAATGTACAACCAGACTCCCCATGTGCAGCACCCACGGTGGACACCATGGCCCAAATGCCATCCTCAGAGCACACCCACAGCCCAGGTCCTGGGTGTATCTATCAGGCTCTGACTGAACTGCCCAGATGCTCTGCTGTGCCCTCCCTTCCCTGCTGGCATCTGCTGACTGGCAGCAGCTGCTGCTCAGCTGCTGGCACTGGGCTGGTGCCACGGGGCCGTGCGAGGACACGGCACACTCAGCAGTGATCAAAGGAGGAATCCCAGCCAAGGCAGCAGAAATCCCACTGAATCCCAAGAGACACACACAGAGCAAGCCACAAGCTGCCCTAGTGACACTCTGCACTGGGCAGGAAAAACTCTCCAGCTCTTCACAGCTTTATGCCAGCTCTGCTCTGCTCACTGCCACCTGCCTGTGTGCCCAGAGCAGTTATGGGCCTTTCTCTCACTGTCACTGCCTGTGTCCCAGAGCAGTCAGGGGCATTTCTGTCCCTGCTCACTGTCACTGCCTGTGTCCCCAGAGCAGTCAGGGGCGTTTCTGTCCCCGCTCACTGTCACTGCCTGTGTCCCAGAGCAGTCAGGGGCGTTTCTGTCCCCGCTCACTGTCACTGCCTGTGTCCCAGAGCAGTCAGGGGTGTTTCTGTCCCCGCTCACTGTCACTGCCTGTGTCCCAGAGCAGTCAGGGGTGTTTGTGTCCCCGCTCACCTCTGCGGGACAGGCGGGTGTCGGCGTCCGTGTCCACGAAGAGCTTCATGCGGAACAGGTCCCTCACCTCCTGGCTGTAGAAGGCCAGGATGCCCTCGAAGAGCACCACGTCAGCAGGGTACACCGTCACCGTCTCCTCTTTCCTGGCACGGAGAGCACAGTCAGACCCTGCTGCTGGGGGAGGCTGGCCAGCACAAACAGAGGTGTGGGGGAAACAGCAGTGCTCCTAAAGCACTGCTCCAACCCTGGGACAGCACTGGAGCACAGGGGAGCAGAGGGAGAGCAGAGGGCAGACCTACCCCACCGCCATGGAGGGAATCCAAGGCATACGTACGCTTCCTGGAAGGACAAACGGCAAAGCAGGAAGCACACCAGCCCTTCTCCCCCTACCTGGGCCAGCTGCTGCTCAAAAGGGTTATGTGCCAAACTAAAAAGCCCAGGAAAGCCTATGCAAGGGAACCTGCATGGCCAGCTCTGCTTCCCTAGGGAGCAGGCAGCACTTCCCTGACAGCACAGAGCTTTTGTGGGAAACACAACAGAGCAACATCATCTATGACCAACACGGGCATGCAAAAACAAGCTGAACACAGGCAAGGGGAGTGGTACAGGAATTGCTGTCCTCCTCCTTTCCTGGCACTGCCACGGTGTTTGAGGCTGGAGTGCTTGTTAAAGCTGCAAACACTGAGTTTATGGGGAGAGGAGGTGTGGATGGGGAAGAGAAGAGAGGGTTGTAACCCCCAGCACTGATGCCTGGATGTTGCTGGATGGATACACAGCCTTCCAGACCCTCAGCCTGTGCCTCTATCTGCCTGGGATGCTCTAACCCGGGGCTGGGGGAGTTAGGATGGAAACTTTGTGCTGGCAGGTTAGGCACCCAAGCAGAGGGCAGGAGTTTGGGGAGGGCAGGGCAGGGCTGCCACAGGACGTTAGCGGCACAGCAAGGCAGGAGCAGCTGTTAAGACCTGGAGTGGGAGACAAAGTCATAGACAGGAATCTGGACCGTCTTCCCTTCTGTGATCTCTTTGAGCGTTTTCACGATCAGCTCGTTGTCAAAGGCATCTGAGGACAGAGGAAACGTTACCCAAGGCAGCTTTGCAACCTCTCCCACCCACCAGATGCTGAGCTTTGCCCAAGCCAGAGTCGTTGGCACCTCACACTGGGGACAGACAGACGCACAGACACACAGGGAGGAAAGCCCTGCACCTCCCCAGGGACCAGGCAAGGCCCAGCTGTGCCAGAGCCACAGAGCTCTGTGGCCCTGCAGCAGCCTGGGATGTGGCCTGCAGAGATCAATACTGTCCTTGTGCAGCAGTGCTGCCAGCCCAGGCACAGGAAGGCATCTCCTCCAGGGCTCCAGCCCTCAGACAGAGACTGCAGCAGTGTTCCAGCATGGAGCTGCCACACAGACAGGGCTCTGTTTGCTCAGGGCTCACTGCCTCTGGCCATTGTCCTCCTGGGGACCAAGGGACAGCAGCTCTGGAATTTCCCCACAGAGCCCAGAGATGGTTCAAAGAGGCCCTGTTGTGGTAACAGGGCAGGGCCCCTTGCTGGAAGGGTTTGCAGAGCAGCTGCACAGCTGGTTCCCTCCTTGAAGGAGGCACAGGGAGCTGCTGGCTCCAGAGACTCTGCCAGCCCAGATCTCCCTGGGCCTGACTCAGCTGCACCAAAAACCAATCTGTTCCTCTGCTGCCTGCTCTAGGTGAAGGATATGGGAACAAGATGACCTTTAAGGTCCCCTCTAACCCAAACTATTCAATGATTCTACAATTCTATGAAAACCTTGTTTAAACTGGGAGATGTTTTTGCAGGAAGAGGAGGCTCTTAAGAAGTTTGAGGGTTTATAACCTGCTCTTTCTCATCCTAAACACTCCACCCCACTTCCTTCCTAAGAGAGATGGGGGGATGACACACAGGTGGTCCCAGCCACAAGAGCTGAACTAAGCCATCCCATGAGGATTCAGAGCCCCAGTGTCCATGCAGGCTCTTTGCTGCTGCATCCGGGGGTCCCACTCTGTCCCTGTCCCCACAGGGCTGCTCTCCACTCACCTGGGTGGTCAAAATTGAACTGGCCTTTGAGTGCTTTGGACTTCTGCTCCGAGGTGAGGACCCTGTAGAAGCTGTCTTGGCTCACAATCACCACCTGCTTCTGGCGATAATCCACCTCGTTCTGGCCCAGCAGCTGCACAATCTTGGAGCACACTGAGGACTGGGAAAGGAATAGCAAAGGAAGCACATCAGCAGCAAGGTACATCTTAGCAGCACAGGGAGGATTGTGGTGGTCCCAGGATGAGGGAAGAGATGAGAATCTTGACTCCATGTTTCAGAAGGCTGATTTATTTATTTTATGATATATATTATATTAAAAGAAAATGATATACTAAAACTATGCTAAAAGAATAGAAGAAAGGATTCCATCAGAAGGCTTGCAAGGAAAGGAATGGAATGATAATAAAATCTTGTGACTGACCAGACAGTCCGAGCCAGCTCACTGTGATTGGCCATTAATTAAAAACAACCACATGAGACCAATCAAAGATGCACCTGTTGCATCCCACAGCAGCAGATAATTATTGTTTTTCTTTTCCTCTGAGGCCTCTCAGCTTCTCAGGAGAAAAAACCCTAACAAAAGGATTTTTCATAAAACGTGTCTGTGACAGAGGATGTCTCCAGGTAACATCCCTGCCTGCTTGCTGCACCTCCAGCCAAGAGTCTGTGGCTTTCCCAAAGCCACCGAGGGAGAAGTGCTCCAGAGGCATCACCATGGTACCCTTTAGTGTGACAGCAGCACCAGGTTTGCTGCCTGCCACCCTCTCCTCCGCCCCTATAGCCTGCCCACAGCTCCTATTCTGGGCACAAGTGGCAGCAGAAAAACACTTGGCTCCTGCCTGGGTTCAGCCACATGCCATGGGGCCCCAGGCACTCCAGCCTGCCAGGCAGCTCCCCGTGGGGCATTTCTCCTTGAGAAAGCAATCTTGGCTCCCCCAGCTCTGCTCCAGCCCAGAAACCCCACCACAGCACGAGGGAGAGCAAACAAAGCCCAGGATGGGAAGGTATGAGGAGGAGAGCCCGTGGGACTTTACCAGGGATCTGTGCCACAGCTGCCAGGGCTGGGAGGAGCCAGCACATCCTGGTGCCTGCTGGCACGGGAGGCTGGGGCACTGCAGAGTCAGCAGCTGAGGAGCCACGTGGGCCTGGCTGCTGGCACGGGGAGCGGGCACCTGGCACTGCCCACGGAGCAGGCTGGGACAGGGCGGCTGGCACCGGCTCTGCTGGCACCAGGGCACGGCCACCACTGCCACAGGACACAGAGCACAGCTCGGGGGACAAGCCCAGAGCCTGCTGCAGTCCCTTCTCCTTAGTCATGGCAATGCTTGGTGGTGACTGCATCGCTGCCTGGCAGCCAGCACTGCCCCAGCCACTGAGAGAGAGGCATTGAGAGAGAGCCACTGCCACTGAGAGAGAGGCACTGAGAGAGAGGCACTGAGAGAGAGGCACTGCCACTGAGAGAGAGGCACTGAGAGAGAGGCACTGCCACTGAGAGAGAGGCACTGCCACTGAGAGAGACCCACTGCCACTGAGAGGCACTGAGAGAGACGCACTGCCCCAGCCACGGAGAGAGAGCCACTGAGAGAGAGGCACTGAGAGCCCCTGCCACTGAGAGAGAGGCATTGCCCCTGCCACTGAGAGAGAGCCACTGAGAGAGAGCCACTGCCACTGAGAGAGAGCCACTGTCACTGCCACTGAGAGAGAGCCACTGCCACTGAGAGAGAGCCACTGTCCCTGCCACTGAGAGAGAGGCACAGCCCCAGCCACTGAGAGCCACTGCCTCTGCCACAGAGAGCCACTGTCCCAGCCACAGAGAGAAAGCCACTGCCCCTGCCACAGAGAGAGAGCCACTGCCTGTGCTCCTGCCCCACGGCACCACTGCCCAGGAAAAGCAGCTCCTGTGCCAGAGGGAGCTCTCCCACTCAAGCAATCACACTGTGCCCAGCTGAGCTGCTCCTGGCCCTGGTCACCACAAGCGTTCTGCTGAGCCCTGTGCCTTGCAAAGAGCAGAGTGCTTGCCCCAGCCTGCCTACCCCAGCCTGCCAGGGGCTCTTTCCATGCTCCTGCCTCCTGGATGGCTCAGCCATCTGCTCCATACCTGGCTGGAAACTTTGTGCTGAAGGCAGCACTGGTGAGAGGGAGCAGGGAGGGGAGTGCATGCCTAGCAGAGCTCACCCCAGCAGGCAGAGGGCAAGGCTGTTTGCCTGAGAAGTGGAAGATTTGACAGCATTCCCCTCTCCAGAGATTGTTCCTCCCTGCAGGCCAGGCTGACCTGCCTTGGCTGTGGTCACTGGGCTGTGAGTCATGCCCAGCCTGGCTGGAGAGGCTCACTCACAGCTCTGCTGCAGAGAGAACCAGCTCCAGCTCACCCACAGCACTCTGGGCAGCCCTGGGCACCAGCTTGGGTTTATGGCTCAGGGATGGGGTCTCCTGAGCATCCCACCTTCTTCTCCTGCCTCTCCCAGCAGGCAGGTCCTGCCTCCCAAGCCAGGCTGGCAGCCCTGCCCTGTAGCAAGCTGCTCCCACCCAGAACAAAGCCCTGCCAGTCACTTGCCCTTGCACACAGGCAGGCAAAGCCAGAGCCTGCTCTCCTTTTCCTCTGTTTTCCCACTCCCCAAATCCTTCTCTGGCCTGCCTCAGCCCTACTGTTTATCCAGCTCTATCCCATAGGTTTTGCAAAACCAGGGGGTGTGTTCAGTGCCTCTCTACCACCTTTCCTGGCTGCTCACTCCCCCAGACACCACTGCCTGCCCATGCAGCAACAGGACACAGCATAGCAGGGCTCAGCCTTGGCTACAGCTGCCCAGGACACCAAATTTCCCAGGCCCTCTGCCATCAGGAATAAACTGTCCTTCAGCACAGCCACCCAGACAGATCCCCAGAGCCACAGGTTCCACGTGGATCTGCACCAGAAACTGCTTTTGCCAGCCCAGGACTCCTTTCCTTTGAATCAATGAAAGCAGCACATGGATTTGCATTCACTCTCTCCCCTTGGACCTCAGCATGTGTCTTGGCAATAAAATCATCACAAATGATGCCAGTCTTCCTTCTGCCTTGTGCCCACTAATCTCTGGTCTGTGGACTCTGGAAGGTGGAGAAGAGCCTCCACCAGCTCTGAAAATCACCGTCTAGCTCCACCCCTCACAATTTGAGACACCTGAGAGTGAGAAAAGCCCAAGGAGAAAGTACCCCAAAGCAGCTGCAGACAGGAACATGTCCTCCCTCCAGGCTCCAGACCAGGAACAGATTGGATCCCAGCTGCATTTGCCAGCCAGGGCTCGGGGGCAGATGGTGCCTCTTGGAAAAAGCAACCTGGCAGACACAGTGGACCCCTCCCTTGTCCCTGGTGGGCTCTGGAGAGCTGGCAGAAGTGGTGGAGAAAGACAAGCATAGGGACATCCTGCTCTCAGGACCGAGCTCAGTTTCAGCACACCATACTGCCTGGCTGAGCAGGGATGTCACCTCCTGGCTCTGGGAAGAGGGACACTTGTCACTTTGGTCCTGCAGGTGTGGGCCAGGCACTGCTCACATATTACAACTGCATTAAGTGCAGCAGGACACAGGGACAGTGGGGGACAGGGCATGTTCAGCTTGCCTCAGTCCACTCCAGGGCTGGGTTCAGCTCTCCTTTGTAGGGCCCTGAACCTCAGTGAGGTCCAAGAGAAGGTTTTTCCTTTTTTCACTATCATTTGTGGTAGGAACAACAATGTCCCTGATGCCAATGTGAACAACTCCTACAGCTGGACATGCAGTTTTCCCCCTTGGCTGATAAACACCCACTGTTAAGGAGGAAGAAAAACCAGAAACACACGGCTTGGAAACTCCCCTACACAACAGGAACAGAAACTCCCAGCCTCAGGAAATGTCCCCCCAAATAAATGACACATTCCCTGCTTAAACCCTTTTCTCCCAAAGCTGCACACATCCACGTGTGACTGTGAAAAGATCCATCAATAATAACTGGAAATGAGCTCAGCCAGGTTTTGGGGCCCCAAAGTCCTGTGCCAGTGTGCCTCAGTCTGGATGCAAGGGACACATGCTGACAACAGGCACTTAGCAGCCACTTGAAGGGGCAGCCTGGGCTCAGATTCCTTCTTTTGCTGATTCCTAGCTGCTTCTCCCAGGGAAGAAGACAATTGCTTCTTCTCCAGGAAGCCCAGGAGTGCAGAGGATGCCTTGAGAAAGGTGACTTGCTGCCAGTACACAAGCTGGAAGGTTTGAAGCCCATCACTAGCCGTGCCTTACATGACACAACTCATCTGCAGGACTATGAGAGCTGTGCCAGAGCTTTTTGCCTCTGCTCAGCCCCTTTCCATACCCACCTCATCCATGCACACCTTGCCACGAGCCAAAGCCAACGCTGCTGGTGATTCAGCTGCAGCAAACTCCAGGCAACAGGATGCTTTCTCAAGCACAAGGAGAGCGCTTCCCCTCCTCCAGAACTTGGTTCAAACTAAATATAGCAGCCTCTGTGGTTGCCAAGCAGACCTTTCCCATGTAGCCACATGGAACTGAAGCAGGACTTTCCAAGCAGGTGGGCAGGAGGGATCCTGGCTCCTGCCACAGGTCACAAAATCCCACACGCTGCAGCAAGGGGAACTCAGCTCCAGGTTGGAGCTGCACTCCCCCAGGCTCTGTGCTCGAGCTGCTCCCTGGGAAAGCTGTGCAAAGCAGCCCACAGCTCCCAGCTCGGGGAGAGGAAGGTATCAGCACAGCACCACGCCAGCCAGAGCTCCAAGAGGTTATTCCTGAGCAGGAGCAGCTGCAGCTCCCCTTGCAGGGCTCCTCCCCTGAACCAAGCACACAAACAGCCAGTGTTCAAGGAAGAAGTACAGCTTTATTCTGCTAGGAAGATGCAGAGGGCACCTGGAGAAGAAATCCAACATATTTTCCCAAAAGGAGAGAGGTGGTACACAGGGGAAGAAACTCGACAGATGGGTGTTTGGAGGCCTATCTCTAACATTTATTTGGAATACATTAATTACATATTTAATTCACATTCACTCATGGCCTTTAGCCAGCTGCTCAGATATTCTTCAGGAGTTGACTAATTCCCTGACATTATTATGCAGATTATCCCACAGTCCCTCCTGGGTAGCTCTGATCAGTGAATTAGTACAATTTCTGATAGGTGTTAAGGAGAAAGCTGATGGACAGTGC